ATCTATCTATCTATCTATCTATCTATCTATCTATCTATCTATCTATCCATCCACCCACCCACCCACCTACCTATCCACACTCAAAATAAGTATATTTTAGCGGTTATAAACATACTACTTACTCTTTGACCTTTAGAACCCTGTGGTCCAGGAGGTCCTCGTGCTCCTGTTGGGCCCTAAATAATAAATAAGAATGAAATACATAGTTATCATAGAGCAGAAGCCTATTTTTCTGTATCATATTTTGTTACCAACTTTCCTCCCAAAAGCAAAAAGCTCAAAGGCCAGACTAGAAAACTATCACCCGTTCTTCTCCTTACTGCCCTTTTTTGAAGCTTTCTCTAAAGTATACTAAAATTTCCCTTCAGCCATTCAGCAGTTTTAAAATTAATCTTCCCTAGTCCCAGTCCAATACTCTATCAATTGCATCATCATTGCAGATATGGAAAAGTAAAGTTGTATGAGAGACAAATTATTATATTAGCAACTTGAAACAGATAACATATCAGTCATGGCATTACTTTCTAACAGATAGGCCTTTAAATGGTTAATTAACAGACATGTGCTCAGGTAGGTGCATGTCTTATTTGTTACAGTATCTGACCTCTTTGTCAAGAAAACCAAAAATCACTGGACTAGATCCACTGGGAATTACGTGGAGATTTCACAATGGCAAGAGAAGTGATTCATGATTACTCATCCTTCTTTCCTGCTGCTATACATAATGTTCCAAAAAGTCCTCCTTTCCCCTATAATAGTTTTATAGCTTATAGGGAAAGCTTGCAATCAATTTCTCAATTTCAGTGAGAAATTAAGCCTGGTTTAAATATCTTATTTTGAACTCACTGGATATAAAAGCTTGCCAAGGTTGGAATCCTTGCCTTTAATATTCCCTACTTTTGGTTGAATAATTTTTCTCTATACTGCCTATTAATAAACTTATGCTTAAAAGTTAATGGAGATGTGACTCATGCGGAGGTACACAAAAATATAATATTTTATACTTACAGGTAGTCCCTGTGGCCCTACATCACCAGGGCCACCTGGTGGACCTGGGTATCCCTGAAATAGAAGTAAATATAATATGGCTGATGCATGGATATATAGTATACTTAAACTTGTTTCAGCTTGTATAAATGCCCTCAAAAATGTTCTTATTTACAGTTTCAGAGCTGTGTACAGAATTCTTATGTACTTTATTAGTGAAAAAATTTTTAATGGGAAGCCCAGACAATTGATTTTCTTAGAGGCTTATATGTATTTGCATTTGTATATGTACATATTTGATTTTTATGGTGGGGGGGAGGATTTTTCCTTTTCAATTCAAATAGTAACAATACTAGTTCTGAAGAAATATATCTCTGAGGTCAAACAATATGCCTTTGATCTAACTTCCAAATTATGTTTCAGGGAATTTTATAACCTCCCCATTACTATTTCAAGCTATCTTTTTCAGATACTTTCCTCCTCAAACAGAACAGTTTCAAAGTCCTGTCTTCAAAATAGATATTTTTGCTTGATTTTCAGTGAATTACGACTAACCAAAGCTACATTTTTGCTGATAATATTTTTTAAAAATACCATAATTTATGCAGAGTTAACATGATAAGCAAAAAACTACTGTTGAAAAATAATGCAGAGTTTCAATATATTTTAAGAAAAATGAATAATTTTAAGCCCAATACCTACAATCATTGATGTAATAGCTTCTCATTTTTCTTACAGACTAAAAGTCTCTTCATGTAAATAGCATTACCTTAAATACTTAGTAAAGACAGGAATTTTCCAGTAACTATTTAAGTATATACTTTCTACTTAAGTTAATGTAAGATAAATTAGACAATAGTTTCTTATGTAACCCTGGATTTGCTTACCATGACACCTTTTTCTCCAGGAGGGCCCACTGGGCCTGGATTACCTCTGTCTCCCTTAAAAGTAAATAAACACATACATACACACATACATACATACTGTTCATAACTATAGTAGTTTATTTGATTTTTGATGGTAAAACTGCATATCCAGTTTTGAAACATTTTTAATAATGAAAATACAACTTCTATACCTAAATAAACATTTAGTATAGTGGTGTGAGTGGTAACTCCTGGTTTTAAGCTAATTTCTAAGCCTCTGCAGGAATGAAAATAAAACAAGTAAGAGTTCAGTAGCTACATTTGCGCCTACATATGAACCTTTTCTCTGTCTCCATTAATGGATTTATCGCTAGAGTTTCCCCCCCTATTCTGGGATGAATGTGTGATTCAAAACAGGTTTTAATTAACACAGGAAGGAAAAGATGGATGCTCTCTTCCCCATGAAAATAATACCATTGGTTGTCATAAAAATGTGGATGCTAATAGACTGTATGACTTTCAAGCCAACTGTATTATTTGCTGACAGATTCTATCAATCCACTGCTTGGAAAATATTCATCCCATTTTAAAAAATTCTGCTGCTGTTTTACTATTAGTTAACATTTTTTTGAAAGCAACATGGAGTAACTTTTACTCTTTTGCATGATTAAATTCCAATACAGATGTAGAGAACACTAGTTGTAATGCACTGTATAGTATATATTACTTGTGCTGCTCTTGTTACATTAATTATCAGCTAGCATCTTATAGTATACCTTCTCACCAGGTCCCCCAGATAATCCAATTTCACCAGGTGAGCCAATAGGTCCCTAAAGAGCAGAAGACATGAAAAAGCAAATAATCTGGTAACTTGTCATTTATAATCAATGATTATAGCAATAGCATTTAGGCTTATACACCACCCATAGTGCTTTATAGCACTCTCTGGGCAGTTTATAATGTAAGCATTATTGCATATATCCAACAATCTGGATCCTCAGTTTACCGACCTCAGAAGGATGGAAGATTGAGTCAACCTTGTGTCCTGTCAGGATTGAACTCCAGGACATGGACAAGTTTGCCTGCAATACTGCACTTTAACCATTACGCCTCTAGGGATTTTATAATGAATCTCAGCAGCTTTATTTACATGGCATTTGCACATGAGTCCAGTCAAATTCTATGAAATATATGGAAATATCTTTAGGCAATCTGTATAAAATGTTCACAATTTATTGTATACCATATATTCCACTTCTTAGTTATATGAAGGAACTACATATGAAACTGAAGTCGCTTTTGCAAAAATCTTAACAACATTGTCATAACAAAGAAACAGATAAAATTTAGGATCCCTGAGGCATGAAGAAAGAAAAGTGTGAATATATGAAACTGGAAAACAGCTTTTCCTAAGTCAATATCCTAAATCAGAGGTCTTCAAACTTGGTAACTTTAAGACTTGTGGATTTCATCTCAGAACTGGCTGAGGAATTCTGGGAGTTGAAGTCCACAAGTCTTAAAGTTGCCAAGTTTGGGGGACCCCTGTCCTAAATAATGAACTCTGTCCTTCTATTTTATGGCAGGAGATCAGTGAGCTGCAAATAGCCCTTCTTACGCCAACAGATGTCAGATGTATGAATTATAGCTTCAATAACTCTTCAGCCAGCATGCTGGAAAGTCAATAATCCAATTAGAAGAATCTTGAATATATTATTCCTCAAGGAATTATGAGGAATAATTACCATATGAATAAGTTTCACACAAGAAGGAATTATAGTCAAATGCATAATTTCTACAAAATCTTCCAAGAAAAGGATTGAGATTTTTCATGTATTAAATAACCAAACTGTAAAGTTATCCTACTGGCAACATTACTAACCTTGAATACATTTCACAAAAAGAGAATAGAATGATGGACAAAGGATTCTGTAATCCTTTCATCCAGAATCAGCTTTTCATTTGGAATCACCCAGAATAAAATCACATATGTGAATCTGATATTATTAAATAGAAGGGAGATAACGAAGTCAAACCTTAAAATATTACATTATTGTAAGGTGCTCTGAGCCTGAAAATATTCACTAATACTAGCCTTCTTCCATAAATGAAATAAATCAGAATTAGTTTGGATTGTCTGCTGAAGAAAAAAATGGATTAGTTCTTTCCCCGTCTGAGTCAACAGATATTGTTTTACATACTTCTCTATGGAGTTCTTATTCTGGATCCTTCTTGCTAATTTAATTCTGCTCTTGCTCAATTTTTTAAATCAAGTAAATTGATTACTTGATTAAGTACTAGATTTAATTAGAGAAAACATTATGCAAATTACTTCATATCAAATACAAGGATCCTCACATTTTGAAAAATCTATCTTGTTGACATAATTGTGTTTGAATTTCAGCAAAATAAAAGCATGATTTCATGTTCTACATTTTCTAAGCACATTTTTTTAAAAAATGGTCATGCTTCATCAAATAAAACCTATAAATTATTGGTTATTGATCATATATCACTCATTTTTAAATAGCTTTTTATTTTGAACTAATGGTGGTAGTCCAGGCACTGAAAGATCCAACTGTAACAGTTCATATCTAAATAGGACCTATTTTATGCACAAAAATGCTGTGAAGATATAAATCAGAAATAAGGAATTAACAAACTGAGAAATTATGTATTTGTTTTGTTATTGTTATTTAAAATTTCTTGCAATTCTTGACTAAAAATGAAGAGCAGAGGATTTGCAATAAATCATTCCCTCTTTGTTTTCACAAACTATGGTTTCTTAGGTCAGGCAAAAGAGAGATTAGACAAATCTAGATTAAAACTAGAAGTGTTTTATTTAGGAACACTAAATTTTACCAAACTCACCTAAATGCTTCCTGATATTAGTAAGACCACTATTATCTTTAAATGAGATGTATAATAATTTTTTCTTCAATAAAGGAGGTAAAGGGAGACCACAGATATAAATATTGACACGATATATAAATATTAAATTTAATATTAAAATTAATATTAAAATCTAATAACAAATTATTAAATATTTAATAAACATTAAATAAATACTTTATACTAAAGAGACTAAAAAGAACATAATAAATCCTTAATAAAACTATCTTCAGAATGAGTGGTTTCTAATCCATTATACTTAGCAATCTGGTTTCAAAGTGGAAAAGTTGATTCAGATCTTCAGAATTTGAGGGTACTCAAATAATAATTATGGAATTCTTCAAAAAACCTCTAATAAAAAGACATGTTTGGTTTAAAGATATGTAGAGTGTGAATCTATATGGCTGCACAGCCCTGTTATTAACTTTATCTCAGGCCTTATTACATCTAGCAAGCATATTTTAAAAAATATAGAAGCTACTTGGGGATCTGTATTAATGAAGATGACATCTTTTAAGATCTTCATTCATTGTAAAAATTACTTATGGGGTACTGTTGGAATAATTTATCAACTTATTGAGTGCCTATGCACAATATACTAAGGCAAAGGTGTTAAACTCGTGTCGTTACGGCGGCATCATGTGACATATCAGGACTTTTTTCCCCCTCACATGGACATGGTCAGCGCGTCATGCATCCAGCTCATGGACCGGGAGCTTGACAGCCCTGTACTAAGGCAACCAAACTGGTTAACCAGTATTTGTGTGCTGCCATCTTATCCTGCTTCTGCATAGTACCATTACTTTAATAAGATTAAATGTCCTACTCAAATCCAGAGGGACTGCCATTTCCAATTAGCAAAATACAAACTCTGTAAACATCAAATTCCAGTTTATTAAGATCAAAAATGAGGACACCAAATTTGCAATCTATCTTTCACAACAGGAAAGTGAAAAGTCATGAGGGGTGATTGGAATAAAGGTGACAGGCCAGGCATTCCTTTAACTTAATCTTAGCTGAATTAACATGTGGTATGAACCAGGTCATTCAACTCCATAACAAAAATGTATTACATTCAATAACATAGGCTAATGTTGGTTTAATACCACAAAGAGTATTTCTAGTTTTGGTACCCTCTTCTCTTTATTCTAAAGCCATTTACAATAGTAACTTTTCAGGAAAAAGGTTTTTTTCTCTCTCTCTAAGAAAAAAAAGGACTAATAATATAAGTGGGATGCATTCCTTTTGGGTACACTACAAATCCATCATCTGAATGAATGTAGTGAGCATTCGTACCTAAGATCTTCAATGCCTCACGAATATGCAGATATACAGCACAGAGGAATAGTAAGAAATGCATACATTCTAGGTAATGCATAAATGTAAGAAATAATGAAGCAAAGAGAGGGAAAAAGAAACCCCATGTTCATTCAAATAAAAATGAGCATTCCAAGAAGATAATTTACACCTGCACTCTGAAACCTGAGGCTAACCAATTAAGCAATGCCAAAAGCTTTATATCAAGGGACTTCAAACTTGGCAAGTTTAAGACTTGCGGACTTCAACTCCAATAATTCCTGAGCTAACATGACTGGAGGAGGAATTCTGGGAGTTGAAATCCACAAGTCTTAAAGCTGTCAAGTTTGAAGACCCCTGCTTTATATAAATGAAAACTATGAGTTACTATGTATGATTTCAATGTCAGTTTCCACCAGTGGTGGGATCCAACATTTTTTACTACCGGTTCTGTGGGCGTGGCTTGGTGGCGTGGTGTGGCAGGGGAATGTTACTGTAAAATCTCCATTCCCACCCCACTCCTGGGGAAGGTTACTGCAAAATCCCATTCCCTCCCCACACCACTAGCCTGCTTTCCAGCTCTGTTCTCCTGTGCAGGGCAACAAAACAAGGTCCAGCCCATCGGCTGGGACTCAGGAGGCAGAGAATAGATGGGAGCAGGGCCAGTCAGAGGTGGTATTTGCCGGTTCTCCAAACTACTCAAAATTTCCGCTACCGATTCTCCAGAACTGGTCAGAACTGCTGAATACCACCTCTGATTTCCTCATCAGTGTTTCTATAATCTTACAATATATGCCTCTGTATTTTTATTTCTAGTTAGATTTTGCATCTCAAGACAAAATGAAAGACAAAAGAGTATTATGGGACTTTAAAAATGGAAATATATATGCAAAGATGTAAGATGTAAAAATTGTGTTATAATTTCTATGGCGAAAAATGTATTTCACTGAATAGGGTGATAGATACAATGAAGGAAACTAAACCAATATAAAAAGAGTGTTCCATCCACAACATAGAATTTCCACTGGGGTCACAAATATGCATTTCTTTCTCTCACTTTGTACCAGTAGTGCAAATTATATTAAGTCTAATTTCTTATCTGTGAATATTAAGCAGAGTTTGAATATTACTGGGGAGGATATGGAATTCCACAAAGATTCATTTTATCAGTTGCAGCTGAATTTTGATAGGAATATCAAGCCTCAATTAAATTCATAGCACATCGTAACTAAGCAATTATAGAAGAATGAAAATGCCTCCATTTAGAAATAGAGAATAGTATACTCTTACTGTTTCACCGGTTTTCCCAAGAACTCCTTGGTCTCCTGTTTCTCCCTGTTGTTTTAAAAATATAAGACTTTACTTTAAATACAGAAATTTAAATATTTTCCTACTATATATGGTTTATACCAGGGGTGGGTCTCAAAAATTTTAGATAAGGGTTCTCTGCCTGGTTGCTGGGTGGGCGTGGCCATGGTGGGCATGGCCTAATCGGCCTCCTGCACCACCGCCGGGGGGGCATTTTAGCCCTCCTCGGGCTCCAGAGGCTTTCTTCGAGCCTCCAGGAGGGCAAAAATGGCCTTCCTGAGCTCCAGAGACTCTCTGGAAGCCAGAAACGGGCTCATTTCTGGACTTCCTGAGCCTCTGCACATATCCTGCACTTACTTGCATCCAAAATGGCCCTGTGGGGACTCCTGGGAGGGGAGGGGTAGGCAGGGAGTGGGAGCTAGGAGTGGGATTTGGGGGTTCTCTGAACTGCACAGAATCTTAGCTAGGGGCTCTCCCGAACCCCTGCGAACCCCCAGCAGCCCACCCTTGGATTATACTGTTTTCTGTATTCCTGAACTTTTACCAACAATTAGAAAAAGATTATTTGCTTTTCTAAAGTCTTTCCACATAACATATTAACTTAAACCTATTTCACAGTCTCCCCTTTCCCTGAAGAGCTTAAATGTCATTTATTGTCTTTTATCTGCTAACAATTCTTGCATTCCTTCACCAGTATTATCTCTGCCTTCCTCTACAACTATGCACAAACAAACCATTTACTCGTACATTACTCAGAGTCCCTCTGTGAGGGAGATGGGTGATTTCTAAATTTGACAAATATTTGATAAAATTCAAATTATGACTATTTTTAATTTAACAAGACCAAATGTCTTACCTTCAGGCCTTCTAATCCTGGTTCACCTGCAAAACCTTTCCTTCCAGGTTTCCCCTATATTAAAACAAAGGAGTCCCATTTTTTGAAGTTCTTAAATGAAGATTTCATTGAATCACTGACAATTAGAGTTGCATTATGCTTGATACAACTAGTAAGAGTGACTGTGGGATAAAATATATGCTATCTGTATATATAAAATTCCTTTGCTTTTTCTTTCAACAAAAACATCTAGAGAAAAATTGCAGTTATATGTTTTAAGTGGAAAACCTGTTCATTCTTCTCCCATGATGGTTTGTTTGTTTTGTTTTTTGACATTTTTAACTGCTGAAATGCAAGGACTGAGTATGCATTTGTGTGTGTAGGGCAAGAATTTCAAAAGGAATATCATTTCTCAGAAAAAGACCTAAATGGTTCTCTGTAAAAAAAAAATCTTACTCAAGAGTCTATTCTACCTATCTTGGCCTATCTTAATAGAAATAATTGCAGTTACTCTTCATGTTGGTTTATAAAGTACTGTTCTTATAGAAAATCTGTTGTGAATGACATTGTTTTTGTGTTTTATAATGTACACTATGTTGTGATTGCTTTATCCTCTTGATGCTACCAAAAAGACACTGCCTAGTAATAAACCTATAATAATTACTCATTAACATTTTTTAAAAATAATACTTTTTACAATTGTTCTAAGCATTAATGTTTGGAACAAATCTGCAGTGATATAAGATTTCAAAATATGTTTTGGATAAGGCTGAAGAAGTATATGAGCCAATCAAAGGAAATTTCTGGCAACACAAAATGAAGACATTGGATAATATGCTCTTAAATGTTGAATAATCTCGAGTTTATACAACTATCTTTGGATTCATTCTTGCTTTGTCTCTTTCTCTTTCTCAGCATTTTAAATCTTGCACTTTACTAGCCTTAATTAAAAATAGATAAAATAATTTCAAAACTAGATTTTTTTAAAAAATTGAAAGTAGTGGTCTTTCTCAGTCTATCGGATATGAAAGGAAAACAAAAAATTCACTCAAGTTATTTGTTAGCCTTTCAAAGGTAAATGGGTAGAATTTATTTTAAAACATTGAACTTTTTGTTTTACATTCTTCTTAAGACATTCTGTTCATTTAACTGACAATGGGAACAGATGCACATAAATGGACTAAGAATTTCCAAAAATAAAACTACTATTAATCTGAAAATAGGGCTGATTGAAGGCAAAGCAGTGAAGGCATCAAACTTCTTTCCAGCTTCATAAGTGAACAGAAATTCATTACAATAAATCAAATTCTGCTTCAGCTACTGCTTTGCATGTCTCAAATTCATTCATTTTTCAAAAATACAAATTGTTTTACATTAACTGTAAAAAATGAAACATTTTAATAGGCAATCCTTCTTAGTCACATTTGGAGATGCCAAGAATACAGATTAACTGTAGTCCATACTGTATGTAGTCCACACAGATTAACTGTAGTCCATTTTTTTAACCTGATAGAAGCCCCAAATAGGAATATATAGTAAAATGTGAATGTTTTAAACCTGGATTGAAATTCATTTTGTGTCCTTGAGAATATCCCTCTGTGATGAATTATCTATTTTTCTTTTAATACCACTAAGTATTTAGAATCATTTAAGATGTAACAATATAAATGAGCGGAGAAAGGTAATGTCAAATAAGAAAAACACCTATTATTTAGTTTTATAAAATATTGAGAAAAATACATGTAAGAAAAATAAGTAATTCTATGCAGTGACCCCTAAATTCTACAGTACAAATAATTTATATACCTTCGGAATAAATTAAACCACACAACTTTCTTTGAGAAAGAACCTGAGTTCCAGCTGAGAGCATTTCAGCCATAGGAGGCTGAGGAAGGGAAGAATATTGAGAAGAATATTGATAATTAATTCAATTGGGGTAGTTATCTATAAATGATATGCTTTTTGAAACATTAATGAATGTGAAAACAATAGGAGAGGGGGTTATCAGGAATACATAATATTTTTACAAAATGTACATAGAAAAGTAGAAAATCCTAAGAGGAAAACTGGACTGAATAAATTTAGTACAGTAAATAAAAGTAAAATCAGTGAAATGTATAGTCATATTCTATTCTATTCTACAACGGACTATAATTTCCTGTGAATAATTTAGACTACAAATACCAGCAGTTCCAATTTCTAAGATTATGAAGCGAGAAATTATGGAAGTTAAGCATAACATCAAGTCCTGCAAAAACAACCGATATATTTTAAAAAAAGAAAAACCAGGACAAATTGATTTGATATCAGTTTGAAGGAAGGACTTCAAAAAGTACTTTACAAAAAACTCAGACATTAACTTTACAACAGTAACAAGATCCAAAATGCATTGGTATTGTGTTTAATTTTTAAACTTCCTGCCTGCACAAACATTTTTGGAACAACAAAAAATTACATGCCTCCTATAATGTGAGATAAAAGTACTGTTATGGTATATTGAATGAGAGATGAGGGAAGTGGTCAGATAAGGGTCAGCTTAGCCTGTTGCAGGACTGTGGATATGTGACAAATGTCTCAGAAGGGACCCTCCCTAATTTATTGGGCTCTAAAGATGATGGGAAGGAATGAAATTTTAGACTTGTAAGATTTTGTTACTGTAACTTTACAATTAAATTGAGCTGTGGTGGTTGCAGTGATTAGACTGCAATATTTCAGGCTGACTCTGCTCACTGCCAGGAGTTCGATCCTGACCAGCTCAAGGTTCACTCAGCCTTCCATCCTTTTCAGTATTTACCCTTGGTCCAGTTACTCCACTTGGCCCGACAGGTCCTTCTTCTCCCTAAAGCAAAAGAAGGGCAATAATTTATTCTTGCATATTGCATTTCCTGCAGATATCTTTATAATGTAACATTGAACATCTTAATGGGACTATGTATATACTTAAACTTAAGAATTTACAGAATAATGATGAACTCATAAGCATATATTTACGGTATATAGGAGTAAATCTCACTGGACTCAGTAAGATTTATTTCTGAGTATAGACATGTAATATTGCTTTGGGCATCAATAGTTACTAATTCAGGGACATAATACTGCATGTCTAAATCTACTCAATTAAACTTTAATTAATTGTTAAACTTTAATAAAATCACTACGCAATCTAAAACCATCTCTATCTATTGGACCGGATG